CAGTAAAGGAGGAGACTATATTTAAAAGAATAAATACTACCACAACAAGAGGACATAGTCTTAAATTAATGGAACAAAAGTTTAAAATTAATATCAGGAAGTATTACTTTACTGAGAGGTTAGTGGATGTATGGAATAGCCTTCCAGCTGAAGTGTTAGATGTTAACACACTGAAGGGGTTTAAGCATGCATGGAATAGTCATAAGGCTATCCTAGCTATAAGATAAGGCCAGGGACTAATGAAAATATTTAGAAAATTGGGCAGACTAGATGGGCCGAATGGGTCTAATCTGCCATCACATTCTATGTTTCTAAAACCTATATATGTTTTTCTATGTGTCTAGTGAGGCATTGATCTTATGGGGATTTTCTAATTCCATTCTTGCAATCCAGTCTGCATGTGTCAAATCGATTATACAGTGTAGGCGTGTTCCACCTAGGAAACGTGCATATGTATTCAAATTTGTGTAAATATATATATGTATGTATGTATCTATCTATCGAGGAAATGGCTTGCACTTACTCAATCGTTATTGAAGTATTTCCATAATTTTTTTTCAAAAGACTGTGAGTGCAAGCCATTTCTTCGATACATAGTTTCATAGTTAAATAGCTGAAAAGAGTCTTGCGTCCATCAAGTTCAGCCTTCTTCACATTTGTTTTTTGCTGTTGATCCAAAAGAAGGCAAAAAAAAAACCAGTTTGACCCCAGAATGGCAGTCAGATTGATCCTTGGATCAAGCAGCTATTACCCTACATTGAAAGATTATATCCTGGAATATTCTGTTTTTGCAAGTATGCATCTAGCTGCTGTTTGAACTTCTGTATGGACTCTGATAAAACAACTTGTTCAGGTGAGACTTCCACATTCTTATTGTTCTTACAGTAAAAAAAAATGTTTCTTTGCCTTAGACAAAATCTTTTTTCTTCCAGTCTAAGTGCATGACCTTGTGTCCCATGTAAAGTCCGGTTTGTGAATAGATTTCCACACAATGGTTTGTATTGGCCCTGAATATATTTGTATAATGTTAATTGCTGCTAAATCTCGCGGCCATTACTCTATCCTAATTCTCCTTGATCTTTCTGCTGCCTTTGACACTGTTGATCGTCAACAGCTTCTTCACATTCTCCATAATTTTGGTCTACGGGATAATGCTCTCTCCTGGTGCTCTTCCTACCTCTCCCAGCGCTCTTTCAGTGTTTCTTTTTTCTGACTCTGCCTCTTCCCCCCAACCACTCTCTGTTAGCATCCCCCAAGGTTCTGTCCTCGGCCCCCTACTGTTCTCAATCTACACTGTCTCCCTTGGTGAACTCATCAGCTTGTTTGGCTTCCATTATCATTTCTATGCTGATGACATGCAAATCTACTGTCCTCTCCTGATCTCTCTCTGCCCATCTTGACTCGTGTCTCTGACTGCCTCTTTTCGATCTCCAAATAAATGGCTGCTCACTTCCTTAAACTCAACCTGTCCAAAACAGAACTTCTGATCTTTCCTCCCTCAAGTGTTACTACTCCCGTGTCTGTCTCCCTCCAAGTCAATGGCGCTACCATCACCTCTACCTCGAAGGCTCGCTGCCTGGGTGTTCTCTTTGACTCCAACCTCTCCTTCACCCCTCATGTCCAATCAATCACCAAATCCAGTCGCTTCCATCTCAAAAACATAGCCCCTATTTAACCCCGGATGCGGCTAAGGTGCTGGTCCATGCTCTTGTTCTCTCTCGCCTTAACTACTGCAATACTCTTCTCAGTGGTCTTACGTGTTCCCAGATTGCACCGTTACAATCTATAATGAATGCGACGACAAGGCTCATTTTCCTGTCCGGTCGCACCTCCCACGCCTCCCCGCTCAGTCAGTCCCTGCATTGGCTCCCAGTTAGATATAGGGCTCAATTTAAGATTCTGGTGCTTGCTTACAAGTCCCTACATAATGCTGCTCCAATCTACCTATCCTCCCTAATACACAAGTATGTCCCGTCGAGGCCCCTACGCTCTGCCAAAGACCTACGTCTATCCTCTGTCCGTACTCCCACCTCTAATGCTCGCCTCCAAGAGGCTGCACCTCTTCTGTGGAACTCCCTTCCCTCCTCCATAAGAATTTCACCCAGCCTCAACTCATTCAAAAAATCATTGAACACTCACTTCTTCAAGAAAGCATATCAATTAAACTGTTAGCAGGTTTTCATCCCCCACCCTCCATGACTCCTCTCCTGCAACTGTCAAAAATTACCTACTAAGCCCTCAGTGAATACTCTTCTAACAACTTACTTCGTACCCCTACTTTTACCCTTTGTGTCACTATCCCCCACTCCCTCTAGCATGTTTATCTTTGGCCCAGACTTTTGTGCACCCAGCATGCACAAGGCTGGTTAGTCTGCGTGCAAGGACTCTTTGGATATTTATATATATATATATATATATATATAAACCCACCTGTGGTTACTTCATTTGGTTGTGTCTTTGCCTGGTTTTGGAACCACGATAACATTTCTTGTAGGAGTGTAGAATGATTTTTGATTCTTTAAAGAGTCAAATGGACACGTTGCTTAATAAATAATGTATTGAATGTATTAACAGATTCATCCAATCCCTGGTTTATAAATTCTATACTCACTTTGGTGGGCCCCCGATCATCTGTTTCTCCGATCTGGCAGACTGCCTCTTCCTCTTCATCCTGCCTGATCAGCTAATCTGCCGGTCGCTGTGATCACGCCCCTTTTTATGATGTGGCACAACCGTTTCGACGTCAGGGGGGCAGTAGTGAGGGCGGAATCTACAGACGCCCTCTCACGTTTTGGAGGTGTGACTACATCAATCACGCCCCCAAACATATAAAAGCACATTTAGCCAGTGTTTCAGTGCTCTGTTGTGATTCCTAGTTTTCTGGTGTCCCAAGAGTCAGTTTCTTGCTGCTTTGGGGCTGCTTTGGGGCTATTTTGTTTTTTGACTCTGCTACTCTGATTTCTGGTTCCCTTGACTCTGCTCTGGTATTCGTCTTGGTTATTCTCTGGTTCCCTTTGACTTATGCCTATTTCTGACTATTCTGTTTATTATCAGTCCGGATATTCTAAGGACCGGTTTAGATATTTATTGCACCTTTAGGAGGGTAATTATTCTGCTTATTGGGTTACCAATTTCGTGACAATTTATTTTATTTATTTGAAATATTTAATCTTACCGTACAACCTGTAAACAGGGGTGTAGAGAGGGGGGCGCTCCAACCCAGGGGGCACTCTTTTGGGGACGGCAAGGTCCAGCCAGAAAACCATAATTGCTCCCTCCGATATTGGCAGTGAAAGTCACCCTCCTCCCACTTTCTGAGTGAGACCTTGCAGTGATCTTGCTCTGCTTGCCAGGTCTCCTCCAATGCGGTGCTCTGTATGAGGGGGAAGAGAGGTTGGATTCAATGACATAACTACCTGCGCCTGTTTATATTATAAAATTGTGCGTGTTTTTCATTTACTTCACATGTAATGCGTTATGGAATGCCTGAGGATTGCTGTTGGGGCACCTCAAGCCTGTCTTGTTATGCACTGAAAAACATTGCTATGCACTGAAAAAAATACAACAACAAAAAGGAGTTAAGTATAGTGTAGTGCTACAGTAACAATAATTAAGGGACACTCAACTGCCCAAATGGGAAGGGAAAAAAACAACAACATAAAATCACTGTTTAATAGATATGACCCCAACAAAAGGGGACAGAGGCAGAAGAGCTATGCGCATTGTTAAAGCATAATGAACGGAGGCTTTGATAAGGGGGTTTATAAGCTGGGTTTATAAGAAAATCTAATGTTAAAAATACAAACACATATTTCTAAAGTTACAGTTTATTCTAGGCTATTTAGATTTAAAGGACCACTATAGTGCCAGGAAAACGTACTCGTTTTCCTGGCACTATAGTGCCCTGAGGGTGCCCCCACCCTCAGGGCCCCCCTCCCGCCGGGCTCTAGGGGGCGGAAGGGGTTAAAGTTACCTCTTTCTCCATCGCCGGGCGGGGAGCTCTCCTCCTCCTCTCCTCCTCCTTTCCTCCTCCTCGGCTGAATGCCCATTCTCAATGCTTTCCTATGGATGCTGGCATCTTCTCACTGTGAAAATCACAGTGAGAAGCGCGGAAGCGCCTCTAGCGGCTGTCAATGAGACAGCCACTAGAGGCTGGATTAACCCTATTATAAACATTGCAGTTTATCTGGAACTGCTATGTTTATAGAAAAAAGGGTTAAACCTAGCTTCTACTGTTAGAAGGTGAGAAGGTTTGAGATATTTTCAATACATGGTCATTGGCTACAGTGGAAGCAAAAAAGGTTTTAAAGTCATATTACGACTGCTTCACAGCATATGTTGAGCCCAAAGCGAATGTGACATTTTCATGTTATAAATTCCATGAGAAAGTGGAATGAGACTACCGACCTTTTGAGCATTTTGTGACAGACTTGCATCTCTTTATTAAAGACTGTAATTATGCACTCAGTCATCAATTGATCCACAACTATATTGTGTTTGGGATACATTCACCGAGAATAAGAGAGAAACGTTTGAATGTGGGCATCTGAGTTAACAGTAGAACAAGCAAAAGATGTTGCTAGATCTCTTGAATTGGCTCAGACACAGTTAAAGACTCTTTCAAACAGCACGAACACTCCATGTGAGCATGCTGTTGCACGTAGGCTACCGCCATACATTAACAAGCAACATAATCCAAGACACACACAGAAATACTGTGAAAATGTTGCTTTAGGGTGTAGTAATGTTGCTTCAGGGCGTTTCAAAGAATGCAGCTATTATGGAAATAAGTCCCAGATCGATATATCTCTGTCTTGCAAAAGTAAAGGTGTGCAAAATATATGGGAAGTTAAACCACTTTGACTCAGTGACACGGGACATGCAGAGCTCAGACATAGAACAGGCTTTTACCAATATTCAAGTAGGCCCAAAACAAAATGAAATCAAGTTCAAGCTGGGCATTGGATCCTCAATTAACGTCATTCCCCTTTTGTGAATACACCAAACTGAATAATCTGGGTACTCTGCACACAACGTCTTGCCCCCTGTTTGGGTTTGCTTGTGAACGCCTTGCGTTAAAAGGCAAATGTGATCTGAAATGCAAGCACAAAGATATCGAGTGCCAATCATGGAGGAGTTTGCACTGTTTTCAAAGGAAATTAACTGTTTCATGGTGAGTGTGCGATATACTTAGATCCACATGCAACCCCAGTAGTCCACCCACCTAGATGGATTCCTTTCGCACTATGCAGCTGTCTCAAAGAGGAACTTGAAAGCATGGATATGTAAGATATCATAATCAAGGTCCCAGTGTCAACTGAATGGGTTTACTCTATTATTGTAGCTAAAAAACCATGTACAGGCAAACTACGGGTGAGTCTAGACCAAGAAAGACCTTAACATGGCCATAAAAGAACCTCATTACCCGTTAGTTACCATAGAGGACATAACATGCTAGTAAGGATGCTGAGCATCGGAGCAGACTGCCACACCAAGCGGACTCTTTTCTCCTGAGGAAGCCCTAACAAATAGGAAGAAATACATAGGGCTGCTATTTGGATGGCATTGTGTGAGAGCTATTGACTCTATATCTTATTATTTATATTTTTGTTTTCACTGTGTTTTGTGTTGTTTTGGAGGGAGAGGAGATTCCCTTAAGACGTGGAACACCTTTAGGGTTTTCACCTTCCACCATACATATTAATGGGAGTCAATTGTTTTTAAATCTTGTAAGTGCAATTGTTGTTAAAATGTTTACTGATATTTAACAGCTCTTCCTATAATTACCTTTTCCCTCTACATAGTTAATTACTACTTGGAAGATAAGAAGTTTGATTGATGTGCCTAGTATCAAATGTTGGTTTGTGAGTACATTCTTTACACTAATTATGTTTATTAATACTTAAACAGTACTGTTTTATTTTTGAGTGCTTGTCTCTTCCTTTACTGTAGATACTATTTGTTTTGTTGTATAACATGCAAGCTAGCTGGTGCCCAATACTCTACAGTTTTAGATGCTAGATAGGGCTGTTGGGCTATTAAACTAACTGAGGAATCCTCAAAACTGAGTGCCTTAAATAAAGTATTTGGTCACTATCAGTTCTGACGTCTCCCCTTTGGACTGATTTCCGCCCAAGATGAGTTCCTGAGAAAAAGCGATGAGACCTATAAAGATTTGAATGGGTTAACAGCCATTGTCAATGACATTCTGATTTATGTGAAAACCAAAGCTGAGTAAAATCTCACTGCTATGCTACAGCATTCCAGTGTGAGTCGAGTCAAGCTTAAAGGGACACTATAGTCAGGTGAACAACTACAGCTTATTGAATTTGTTCTGGTGAGTAGAATCATTCCCTTCAGGCTTTTTGCTGTAAACACTGTCTTTTCAGAGAACATGCAGTGTTTACATTACGGCCTAGTGATAACTTCACTGGCCACTCCTCAGATGGCTGTTAGAGATCCTTCCTGGGTCATGGCTGCCTAAAATGCATCCAAACATGTCTCCACCCTCTGCATGAAGACACTGAACTTTCCTCATAAAGATGCATTGATTCAATTAATCTCTATGAGGAGATGCTGATTGGCCAGGGCTGTGTTTGAATTGTGCTGGCTCTGCCCCTGATCTGCCTCTTTGTCAGTCGCAGCCAATCCTTTGGGGAAGCACTGTAATTGGATCAGGCTACCACTTCTGCTGATGTTAGCAGGCAGTGGGCAGCTCTAAAGGAAACAAGGACAAAGTAAGCAGCTGCAGACTTGAATACACATAAGATTTTACTATATATAGGGAGACATGAGGGGAACAGGGGGGCTAGATGGTGGTTTTAACCTTATAGGGTCAGGAATACATGTTTGTGTTCCTGACCCTATAGTGCTCCTTTAATCCAGAAAAGATCATCATCTGTGCTACAGAAGTGAGTTATTTGGGACATCTATTCATTACGTATGGAATAAATGACAGAGTTGTTTCTGTGAGGGACATGGAGCCACCTAAAGGTAAGAGAGAGATTTGATATCAATGCACTGCCTCACCAGCTCCTGAAGGAACCATGTGAGCTTGTTTGGGATTTCTAGCATGACAAGGGTATTAAAAAAATACTTTTCGCATGTGAACTAGGTCCAGTATAAGCCTACTTCGATCCTCACAAAGAGCTCAGGCTACAGGTTGATGCCTTTAGGTCTGGACTCAGGGCAGTATTACTGCAAGATGGCAGACCTATTGTGTATGCATCAAAGTCGCTCAATTAATGTGAAATCAGTTACACGCAGTTCAAGAACTCTTTGCCATATTATTCGGTTGCATCTTTATATCCTGAGCATATTTATATGGCTCATTTAAGAGCACAAATATTGCACCTATAATTATTTCTAATTAAAGAAACAAAAAAAGATTCATACAAAATCATTCTCAGCTTAGGGCAGCATGCCAAAAACTATTCCCGGATCCCTATAGGCTGTACATCTCATAATTTTGCACATTTAATGTCACCCTAATAATTCAAACAAACAGGGTGTATACAAGCATGACAAATGCAAATATAGAGTAAGATTGGGTATGAGCAGGCAGTGTTAAAGGTACACTGACACAATTTTTTTACCTTTTGCTATAATCCTTATGTTATATCACATCCACATGTGTGTCTGTCTGTCATGGTGTGTGTGTGTGTGTGTGTGTCTGTCAAGGTGTGTGTGTTTGTCTGTCTGTCATGGTGTGTGTGTGTGTCTGTGTCATGGTCTGTCTATGTCATGGTGTGTGTGTCTGTCAAGGTGTGAGTGTGTGTCATGATGTGTGTGTGTGTGTCTGTCATGGTATACGTGTGTTTGTGTCTGTCATGGTGTATGTGTGCCTCTGTGTGTGTTTACAAATAGTGTTTGTAGCGGACTGTGTTTTGCTACTAACCACCTTCCTTATTTTGGCTGTCCATACCTTCAGAGGGTATATAAAGTATGGGTGTATGGTATTGTTTTGGGGTACATCTGAGAATTGGGGAAAAATTTGTTCTAAAACCTCTATGTAATTAAGTTATCTCTCATGCTGAGGGGAGGGAATATGTGTACTGTATCTAGCCCTGGATTGGCTGATGTCATATTCTTTGTGGGTGTCTCCCTTGCATGGGAGAAATGTATAAAAGCTGAGTGTGTGATTAAAAGTTCAGTTCTGCTCCGGATACTGAGTGTCATCCAGTTATTGGGAAAGGTGATGGGAGATTCGTGGATTTCTTTATTTACTACTTATGCTGTTCTTCTTGTAATATCCTGTTTGTTCCTGAGTAACTATTGGAATACCAGTGGGGGGATGTTAAACTAGCGCTCCGCTACAGTGTTTTTACTCACCTTTTTTTTCCCCACGCTGGTCTCTCCTCGACTGGCCCTGCCTCTATGGCTGAGATCATCAAGCTTGATGATCTCAGCCAATCCAATGCTCTGCCATAGGATTGGCTGCAAAACGCTACACCAATCAGCATCTCCTCATAGAGATGCATTGAATCAATGTATCTCTATAGGGAATGTTCAGTGCCTCCAGAGCGTGGAGGCCCTGAATGTAGGTGCTGCACACTGTGCAGCACTGACACAGGAAGCACCTCTAGTGACTGTCTGAGTGATTGTTACTAGAGGTGTCACTAGGAAGCAATGTAAACACTGCCATTTCTCTGAAAAGTCAGTGTTTACGTTGAAAAGCCTGCAGGGACAGGCTATAGATACCAGAACCACTACATTAAGCTGTGTGTGTGTGCGCGCCTGCTAGTGAGTGAGCTTGTGTTTTTATGTAAATGAGTTTATGTACATCAGTATGATTGTTTGTCTATGAGGTTGTGTATCAATGAGCTTGTGTGTGTCAGTGAGATTGTCTGAGTATGCTAACTGTATTATTAAACGTTTTACTCTGAAAGGACCAATATTTTATATTAGAAAAAGCAATATATATTTTATATATAATTTATATTTCTTACTCAATCATCTGGGGTGGCAAGAAATAGCCTTACATATTACATGCGACAATATATGGCGCAATGACTTATGGGGCTGGCATAAATTTATTTTCCAGGGCTGCTTTGTATCTCCAGTCCGGCCCTGATCACATCAATATTTTTTAAAATATATTATAACATATAGACTATGTTGAAACATGTTGATGCCAGTGTTCCATTAAGGATGGGACTCATGTGATTGAACCGATGACTTACTTGCCTTTATTGATGATGTAACTACAAACAGCAACAGAATGAGAGCTGGAAACCTTTTTGTGTGTGTTTAATTTTTTAGTGGGTCACAGGTCGTATAACAGGTGGGGGAGGTGAGAGACTGCCACATGCCATTTCTTTTTTTTTCTTTTTTTTTATCCCAATTTAAAAATTGATCTATTTATTTTGTGATATTCAGTAAAAAAAAAAAAAAATTCATAAATTTCAATATATCTCTCGTGACGCCACACCGTACATAAACGGTAAATACTTCTTATATACTTTTATAAACTTTATATAATTTTACAGCTTGAAAAACCAGTATGCACATAAATCCTGGATTTTCACATTTTGTAAATCTTGGGATGTCTAAGCAAACAAGGCTCTCTGGTTTCATACTTTGCATTAGTATGGTATTCGAATATGCACTGCAGAGACATACTACAATGCCATAAAACATAGTACATTCCATGTGAAAAATATAAAAATGTAATAGAACGTTAAAAATGTTTATATGCTGTGTTAACATTCTTTTGTTTGTTTTTTAAACATATCTAATAAAATGACAATACTTTAACAGACAACATAACGCCGTACATTCTCCAAGTTAAGTCTAAATATCCTAAAAAAAAAAAAAACACAAAATCTAAAGATATCAGCATTAAAAAAAAACGCACTGTATAAAATAACAAATTTTGCAAAAGTCTTAACTGTAGCAAAACAAATCCCAATCCCACTGCCGGCAATATGGTACTGAATTATAAGAAATGCATATTTAAAGTGAATTCCTGTGATATTTGATACTTAGCAATCGGGACTACTGTTTGTGTATTTTGTGGTTGTTGTTGTTGTTTCCCTTTTTTGGGAAAACCTATATTTATTTAATCATTGCTGTATTATATATTGCATTTTTTAAGGGTTTTTATTTTAGCATATCTATTTTATAGTTAATTAAAATATTTGTACTGACATTAATAACCATGCTCAGAAAGTTTTACTCAACATAAAGTTTAAAGCAATGTAGACCTTGTTCATGTTTGTTTTTCATCATTAAAAATTTTGATTAAATATAAATTTAAAAAAAAATAAAATACCAGGGGTGAATAGTGCTCTAGACTAAGCATGGGACTGAAATTTAGAACTTACAATTTAAATGGCATACCTCCACTTCAATCTAACGTTCGACGGTGGGCGCTCAAACGCCAATCACGTGCGATGCAATAGGCCCAAACTGCCTGTTGTGTTTTTCTATGTTTGTGTGCTTGTGGCTTGTGGAATGAATGCTGTGTCCCATACTTGTAGATTTTGGCCTAGTAATTCTAGGCCTAGGGGAGCATCATGGAAAACCAATTAAAATTTTGTGTTTAGGCCCAGCATCATTTTCAGCTCTAGGCCCATGAAGTCCTTATTTCAGCACTGCAAACATCTCAAGACTGAGACACAGAAACTTCGGAAAGGAGCGTGTACCAGAAATTAGAGAACGTGGACCACGACAAGAGAATAACCTGTAAATTTCTCAAGCATTGATGTGTCATGTAGAAAAAATTGTGAAAAATATCAGGTTTATGTATTACTGAAATGAAATAAAAAGGGAAAGCAAATAAGCACAAAAATATATACTTGCATGTGCAAAAATCAACTCCCTAATCTCAACACTTCAATGAACATTTCTCATTCTGACATCCACAAGATTAACAGCAAACACAATGAAGGCACTGTATTTAGGAAGTTTTGCCTCCGCCTCCGTGAGCCAAAGATCTGTGCCTCTCTCTCTTTTATTTTATTTTTGTATCTGTATTTTTTTTAATGAAACATCTTTTCGCAAAGTTACGCACATCTTAACCACTTAAAGATGAAGTCAATTGTCCAATTTCTGAGCTAAAACAAAACCTAGGATTTTAGCTATATGTCTGTTCAACCATAATTTACCTCTTTCACAGTAAGTGCACCCACACTTATTATATATCTTTTTGTTCAGGAGCAACAGGGCTTTCATTACACAGCATTAATTTCAAAATAAAACATAAAATAAAAATAAAATATAAAATTATGTGAGAAATTAAGACATTTTGTTATTTTCCAATTCCTGCCTGGTATTTCAACTGTGAATGTCATAATACTCGTAGATTTTACTGCGATAAAATATATACTAAATATAGTAAAATAATTCCAAAAAAATTAATTCCAGTCTGCTGGTGCTCGCTCTGCCCCTGGTCTGCCTACTTGGCTGACATA